TTAGAAAAGCCATAAAAAAAAAACAAGAAATGAAATAGATAAAAGTTAGGAAATTTGCTAAACACATTTCAAACCTTGGTTAAACCACACTTGAGTAATGTGCACAGTCCTGGTCATCAAATTATAGAAAAGATTGGGAGTCACTGGAAGGGTGCAGAGAAGACATGCAAGCATGATACCAGAAATCTGCAGACAAAAATAAGGCCATAAGATCTTAGCTGCAAAATTAGGCCATTCAGCCCATCAAGTCTGCGCCAACATTCGATCCAGCTAATATATTTCTCAATCCTATTCTCCTGCCTTCTCCCTGAAACTCTTGATCCCCGTATCAATCAAGAAACTTTCTATACTTGTCTTAAATGTACTCAATGACCTGGCGTCCACAACCTTCTGTGGCAATAAGTTCCACAGATTCACCACCCTCTGGCTGAAGAAGTTCCTCCTTATCTCAGCTCTAAATGGTTATGCTTTCACTCTGAGGCTGTGTCCTCCAGTCCTAGTCTCTCCTACTGATGGTAACATCTTCTCCACTACCATCCTACCCAGGCCCCTCAGTATTCTAAGAAAACAAAAATGAAAAAAAAACAGGAACAAATTGACCATTTGGATCTGTTTCCTTTTCAAGAAAAGGAGGCTAGTGGATCACTTAATAATAAAATTACAAAAGATCTTGATATAGTGGACGCACAAAGAATGCTTTGACTTATGGGGAATATCATAACTAAGGATCTTCAATCTTAGATTGTCAAAGAAACCCAGTCAAGAATTCTGAAGGAAATTATATACCTAATAACAATGTGAAACTCACTAAAGGAGAGCAAAATGGAGGGTCACAATGTTGGGTTTAGAAGAAAGATAGAGAAGGCCCAAGTGGAGCCTGAATACAGACATGGACTGGTTCAGCAAAATAACCTGTTTCTGTGCCATTTAATCTAGTTATAAATAGTCCTACACATGTTAGATTTCACATTTCCTCTGGTGAAATGCAAGAAAAATTAGTGTTTATAGAAATGTCCATGTAGTAGTTAAGTACTGCATTGTAATAACATAGTTAATAACCAGGCCTTGCAAAATATTTTCAAAGAAATAAATGATTACTGGTTCCATCCACAAACAACAAAGTACCTAAAAACAGAACTCTGTATGTGTTAAAAATGTGCAGAACCAACTCCTGACTATAGAAAGTATGGTAAAGGTACAGGCAACAACTTATCTGTAATCAGGCAGCTGAACATGACGCCAGTGCAGACAGACATCAGCATCAGACAAAAAGCCACATTCATTTTAAAAGCGCTGTCTCTCTCAGGTCTACTTTTGGTGAGCTGAGAATACAAGTTCTACCAGGAACTACTATAAAATGTGAAGACTCTCAAGTAGAGGGTCTAGGCCCGAAACCTCAGCCTTTCTGCATCTACGATGCTGCTTGGCCTGCTATGTTCATCCAGCTCTGCACCTTGTTGTCTAAGACTCTCAAGTAACTCTCTTTCAATATATCAATTATTCAGCAACTGTGTCAATCAACAACCAGAGTCTCTGAAGATAATTTTATCTGATATTAGCTGACTGTAACTACTTTCCCAGTAATACCAAATTGTATAAAAGGAGTCCTTCAACATATTATCATCCTAAAACCAAAAAGATTTTTAAAAAATCAAATACTGATGATCTAAAATGTAAAAACAGCAATCGCTTCCAAGTTAGATGATGTCATTAGTTATCAGTCAGATATGCCAATGATTGGAATGAAAGGTTGATAACTGGGGAGTTCTGTTTTCTTTTCAGATCCTGAAGTCTCACAAAAATGCAATCTCTCTCCCCCTCCCATTTAGCATTCTCATTCTCAGTGAGATTTCAATCGTAGCTGTAGCCACCTCACTAATGTACCATAATATCACAAAAGAACAAGGTGTAGAGGCAGGTCCTAAGAACAACAACAGACAGTATGGGGACTGAGCCTGCTCCATCCCCATTATTAAAGGACCACGTTCATAGACAACTGAACTAATCAGACTCCAATGCAACTTAGGTACCAGAAGATATCTAGATTAATTATTCTTTTCACTGGCATAACATGACAATGATAAAATGACCAAAGTTCCTATGATGAGTTCAGCTAATACAATGCCATAATCCACAGGAAATAATTTGAAAATGTTTCTAATAAACAAGGCACTTAAATTATTTTTAAGGGACAAAACTGTCAATTTATCTAACATGGATTGCGGCTGGCTTGAAATCCAATAACCACACAGTCTATTCTTTTCCACCTTTGACTTTATTCCAAGGTTAGGCAGAGATCTTGTATTTCAACACTAAACATTGCATCTTACTTAGATAGAATGATACAGCACAAAAGGAGCCACTCAGTGCACATGAAACAGTTATCCAATCAATCCTGCTCCACTGCTGCTTCCTCACACCCCTGCAAGGTTTTTCTTTAAAAATCAAGTATTTAAAGTTTCTATAAGTTCTGCACAAATTCATTAGTGCCTAAAACTGAGCACAATTTCAGTGGTCCAGAAACAAAGAGGGGCTCAAGGTCTGTCCTAAACTTCCTCTTGGGCAACATCTTTATAATTAAAAGAAGCTGTGAGGACCATTTAGAGGCTTCATTGCAACATAACTGTTGCAGCGTCACCAATTTTAGCCAGCACAAAGGTTTACACATATGTACAGAAGCATGGAAGACAAAGGTGAGGTGAGCAGCAGCCAGTAGTTTTAGCAAATCAGGAGAAGCAGTTGTTCTCCTTCTGACTCCATTAAAATTCATTTCAGGATGTTTTCAGCCTTGTTTTGAGTAGTCCAGTAGTGCCTTTAAGAACTGCAAGTTATTTGACTCCACAAATATTGGTCAACGCTTGCGAGTGTAGTTATCCAAGCTTGAAAAGAATGTCATTTCAGTATTGGAATTAAGCTCACCTTCATTTCAGAAAATCCAGTAAAACAAATTTAAGGGAATTGGCAAATGAATCACAAATAGTCAGGGAAAAAGATTTTAATACAATAAGTAGTTGAGATTTAAGATACATTGCTTGATAGGTCAGTAGATATGCATTGAAGGGCAGAAATTAAATGGAGGTGGGAAAGATTAGGGTGACGGAATTAACTAGTTTAGTCTTAGAAAAAGCCACCATAACGTTCGCCGAAGGCGTCCTTCTGTGATATACTATTCTAATTGAAACATCACCCAATTCCAGGGCCTAACTTAGTATGTACAAACATTTAAAAGTTGTCTAAAAACTCTGAAAGATGGGATTTGAAACGTTTCTAATTTGAGGCGCAATAAACTGGATTCTATTTGCTTCGGCATGAAACAACATTGAATTTTGACTTCATTAACTCACTCCTATTTCACATGGAACATTGTCACTGTCAATATTTATTCTTCACATTGACTTTTATTTATTATTATTACATAGCAACCACTTGCTGAAGTTCAAAGTGCATCCAGACAGAAAGTCTTCAATTCACTCATTATTCCAGGATTAGAGTAGAAAAAATTAATTTTATTATGAGGATTTGATTAACAAAAAAACAAACTTGCTCTTTATACATTATACCTGGTGTCAAACGTCGACTGGATTAACTACAAGAATCCAGATTCATCATTACCTTTCAACAGAAACATCTGGCTACACTAACTGTATGAATATCTACATTAGTGAGAAAACAATTTACTTAGAACTATTACTGCATGGGGAGGGTGTCAGAAGCATTTTAAGTTGTATATGTACTAGCTCATAAGATTCGAAAGAATTGTCCAAGCACTGAAATGTGGGAATTGAAACTTTTCCTACACTAAGAATTTAAAATTCATACAATACTGAGATTTAATACTGATTGCAACTTTCCTCCTAAAAATAGGGGAGGCAATGGCCTAGTACTGGGTTGTTAACCCAAAGGCCCAGGTAATGTGCTGGGGATCTGCGTTCAAATCCTGCCACAGCAGATTGTGCAATTTGAATGCTATAAAAATCTGGAATTAAGAGTCTAATGAATAAACTGTGAATCTGATAGACCACAAATCCATTGTCGATTGATGGAAAAATGCCCTTTAGGGAAGGAAACTGCCATGCTTACCTGGTCTTGCCTACATGGGACACCAGCCCTACAGCATTGTGGTTGACTCTCAACAAATTAATTTGAATGAATTAAAAATAATTAATCTAATAGTACAAAAATATGCATATAATTCTGTGAGTAAGTTTGACATCTCCCAAAAGAAGCAATACTGTCCAAGAAGTACAACTACCAATGTCAGCAAAAACTATCCTGCAATAAGAATACGATGTTATCAGCTTCCTTCCACTGAAAACTGGGTTGGAGGCACCTACAGAAATGGAGGCTGAATGCTTCCCACCTTCAGTGCATAACCTGCATGTCAGGCAAACAACTGGAATATACTGTAGGGGTGTAACAGTGACACAGTCCTTCCCTTCATGCCAAAGTTATTACAGACCCAGTTCTCAGCAAGAATAGCACATTCGTCCGTCTCATCTTTCCCACTGTGTATCCTTATGTAAAAGAAAATATGTGGCTTTCTTAATCCTCAACTAACCTGACAAAATGTATTTAACTCTTACAGCGTCACTGGCTCTATCTTAAATATACCACAACCTAAGAAAGTGGATATCTTAGTTGGATCCAACCCAATCCTTACAAATAAAAGCGCTAAATATTCCAGAAATGCCCCATACGATAGTTAGTTTTGCCAATCTTTTGCAAAGTTTACGTTAGTGAGGTCGAATGCAGATGTTGGTTTGTATACAGACAACAAAGTGGCTAGTAATTGGTGGTTGCTGTTTGTAATGCCTGGATTTGATTGTTTTTTTGCCTGTATTGTTAAAAGAAATCGCAACTCACAGTACAACACACCCAGTCTTCAGCAAAGGAGTAACGCTTTGCAGACCTCGTTTGGATGACTAATGTAAATATGATGGATACTTTTTTAGCGACCTGTACACTGTTTAAAAACTCTGGCAATCTGAGGATACGCTTACCAGAATGGACTTGGTATATTGCAGAAACTCTTCCATCTCTGCCCGTGTGTTTGGTGATGGCGTAAATTCTGCATTCGACAGAAAGTTGTGCCTAATTTCAGCCGGGTTTCTCTTCGCTCCGGTGCTCTCACCTCAAAACAACACCGCCCAGTGTGACAGGAAGCAGCCTGACAGTACCGCCCTGTATGATAGGGAGCAGAGACTCACAGCACCGCCCAGTATCACAGTCAGCACATCCTTACCACAGCATTGAGCGTCTGTACAGCCGCTGCGCTGGCTATACCCAATGAGAAGACTGTGACCAGCTCACTGACATCACCTCCAAGTTGCTGCAATTGGCAGGAGTTCAGAGGGTTGCTGCGTGAGGTTTATCTGCAATAGAGCAAGAAAGTGGGGAGGACCTAACATTATTCAGAAACACCCCCCTGCTGCTATGGATCATTGCCTAACTCTTGAACTATCACGCATAGAGGCACTGCGATCGTGGTAAAAAGTAGTCACCAAACTTTTTGGGGCCCTTTTTGCTCAGAGGGAAATGAGTTGGGAAGAGCGGGAGTCAATTTTATCACAATGATGTTTATCGATATTGGTTTATATATATAAAATAGCAACTCCCGATGTTTATATCAAATGTCTTGATTGTTAAGAGTTTGGCTCTTGATTTGTGAGACATTTGGGTTGGCGTGTCTGCGCAGTTAATAATGAACATAATCCTGCAGCCCTATCCATTCAATTTCCCACCCATCCCAACTCTGAACCAAGCCCCTCTACAACGCTGATAAATGCGTCTGTCTGACTGATACCATTATCGATGACCCAGACTTAAGTAGGGAACTGCTATCTGCAGCAATCTATGCTCAAGGTGATACACTGCTTTATAAATGCTTCTTGGATGAATTTTGATGCCATGTGCTGCCCTTAAAACTGTATTAACTGCATAGTATGCGTTAATTTTAATAAATGTAAACTTTTTTTGGCTATATAAGCTGCTCCTTTAACCACATATCAGCTATTGTGTTGATTATAAAAGTAATTGATTGGTTAAATGTGAAAATGCTTTGTTTTTAAAGTTTTGTGAATGTGAAATAAAATTAGAAACATTAAATGGAAAAGATAAACTTGAACTTCTTTCATGATGTGTAGGTGCACACATTTTTTCATACATTATTGTGAGGACTATTTTGTACTAATATTAGCTCTCATCTAGATTTGAAACCAGCAGTCTTTGATTCCAGTGTGCAGAGTAAAATTGAAGAGCACAGCAGAAAAGATATTGATTACATTGTGATATTACTGCCTAATTCTTCAGTAGAGCTGAAACAATAGTAGCACTGCTGCCATGGATGTATAATTAATATCTTAGCCTAGATGGGAGCAAGTGTTTACATTTACTTCTGCAATTTATCTAATATATTGAAATCATATTCGATATATTGGTGACAGCATAGAAGAAGGCATATTTAGCCTATTGTGTCTGTACTGGTCTTCTGAAGCAACAATCCACCTAGAATCCACCATTTTTCTATTTTTCAGACCATGAACCAATTCCCTCTTAAATATTTCAATGGACAAGGCCTCAACCATACTTTCAGGCAGAGCATTCCACATTCTAAACACTTGCTTTGTCAAAAAAAAATTGCTAATGTTTCTTCTTTACCTTAAATCAGTGATATCTGCTATCAAATCTCTTAACCTTCTCCAAGGAGAAGAGTCCCAATTTCTGTAATATTTCTTTGTAACTGAAGTTCCCATCCCTGGAAACATTCGAGTAATTCTCTCACTGCTCCCTTCTAATGCCTTCACATCCTTTCTAAAGTGTAGTGCCCAGAACTGGATGCAATCTGGACTGTATTGATGCTGAACCAGTGTTTTACATAAGTTTAATATAGCCTCCTTGCTTGGATAGTCTATGATCCTTTAGTTGTGGAATGTGCAATGGGGTCATATGCCTTTTTGTAACTTGCATATAGTGGTATTAAAAACTGCTTAACTTTCTGAAGTATCAATTATTTCAGCTCCAATATACATGTACATCTCTTTCTTAATTACAAATCATTTACTTATTACTGAACTGTTCCAATCATCGTGACCGGCATGATAAAGCATTTTAAAGGTTCATGTGATTGTATTTTACACTGAGATCTTTTCACTGATAAAACTAGGCCTGAATATTGTTCCAAGTAATCGAAAGGAAGTCTCCTTCTCACAGCTACTATGATTCCATTTTCATGTGGATAAGAGTCAACAGAATACAACTGCTCATAATCTGACACCAGTTGGCCAGTCCTGCTAGGCATACTATGATGAAGGATGCTACATATGAAAAGTACACAAACAAAGAAATCCCATTCCAATCTCAATCAAAATAGCAAATAGAAAACTAAATAATGTGTAAAATATAATCATAGAACAATAATTGATCCAGGAGAAAATAAAATTGCCTTGAGATTTTACATTTTTATTTATAGCAGTAGGAGCAACTGTTGTGAATCAGTTTAAATTAGTTTAAAAGTCATTCATCAGCTGTATATGTCTTAATTATTCTCATTTTATTGTTTCAGATATGGAGACATGTTAGGTTGTTACTTTGATGTTCAGAGCAAAAAGGCAATTTTCTTAAACAGATCAAGTCTCCAGTGAACTGCTGCCTGCGCCCTTACAAATGCTGCAATGGAACAGTTTGCCATGGGCTTAAATAACTGCAGTCAGGCATTGACAGTCAAATGGATCATACAACACATTGTCCTATCTTGTCTGAAGTGCTGTAGGCACATTCCCATCAGATTCAGGCTAAAACTGAAAGTCTTATCTATTTATGAGTTGAGAACCAGATGACAAAGCAAAATATATAAGTGTTAATTTTCCACATTCATGAAAACAACAAGAAGCTTTTCCAGGCCAATGCACATATCAGGAATTGGATGGAACTTTGCCAACACTTTCTTGATAAGTACAATGTGTACTCGGAAAATTGGACCCATAAGATATACTGGAAAACAGAAAGAAAGGGTTATCATTTTTAAAAATTTTTGTCCTAGTTTACTTGATAATGAGCAGCATCTCGGAATGAAATAGTGATTTATCAACTGTCAAATTGCAAGTCCTGGTTGATCAGTGGGTTCAGACCTCCCATGGGAATCAAACAGGTGATCTGTGCAATGAGTTATATCATGGAAGTACAATTGTGCTACAGCTAAGTCTTTACAATAATTCCTCACATGCTGAGAGATGTAATTTCAACGTCTAAATCTTATTGCTTTCATATAATTGTCTTTTTTTTTGCTTTTGATACCTGAGAGCAGTTAAAACTAGAACTTTGAAATAGAGTGCTGATTGAAAGCAGATTTAGAAAATGAGAGTTTGGTGAATTGGGGGGGTGCGGTTTGATGAGTTTATGTGTGGGTGGGTGGGGAGGGTTGAGAGAGGGTTGCTCTTGTTTCTACATTTTAAACATTTTTCACCCCCAAGTTTCTGATTCTTATGTCTGTGCAGCAGAAGGAGCTGGTTGGTGAGTAATAAGCAAGCTTTACACTTATAACAGACAGTCTGTAAAGTTAAGTTATGACAGGGCAGCTCATCTGCATTTAATAGCCAGCATGTAACATGTGGGAAATCATGAATACATAGACACTTGCTAGATAAACATATCTGCAGGAAATGTCACTTCACAAGCTTGAGCTCCAAGATTCAGAATCTCAAAAGTAGTGGTTGGAGTCACTCTGGTGCATCTGTAAATCAGAAAACTATTTGGATAGCATGTTTAGGAATGTGATCAAATGCAGATCAGGAACATGCAGGCAGAAAGGGATTGGGTGGCCACCAGGCTGTCTAGGCAAATCAGGCAGTTAATGCAGCAGTCCCCTGAAAAGATATTATTCACTAATTGGTTTGCCATTTTGGATATTGGTGAGGGCAGTGGTTCCAAAGTAGTGTGCGTTCAAAGCTGCACAGGAGGGGAGGAAGAAGATTGGTTAGAGGATTCATTATGAAGGGAAAAGATAACCATGACTCCAACCATAAATATGACTTTGGGATGGAATGTTGCCTCCCCGCTGGCAACATCAGTGATATCATGGAGAGGCTGCAGGACATTCTTCTGGGGGAGGTTGAACAGCCGGAGACCATAGTCCACATTGTGACCAACAACTAAGGTAGTAAAGGGGATGAGATCCCAATAGCAGATTTTAGGGAGCTAGGAAAGATATTTGAAAGCAGGACTTCAAAAGCAGTAATCTGAAGATTACACACAGTCACCTATGTCAGAATTGAATGATTGAACATGTGCTGGTGAACTGATGTAGACAAGAAGGTTTGAGATTCCTAAGGCGTAGAGACTGGTTCTGGGGCAGGCGTGACGTGCACATGGTAACCTGGTTACATTTTAGCACTGTTTAGAAGTTGTGTGGAACTTGAAATGTTAACTCAGTCTCTCTCTTTAAAGATGCTATGATATCTGCTGAGTTTCTCCAGCAGTTCCTGTTCTTATTTGCATCCCAGCAGGTCCAGGGCTAATATCCTAAATGGGACATTTCCAACTGCTTTTGGGGAGGTTTTAAACCAGATTTGCAGGTGTTGGGAACCTGAGAGAGTGCTCAGATTGGAGAGAAACAAAATTGCTAACAGGAAGTAGAAAAACAGAAAGTGAAATTGGAAGGCAGTCAAAGGTAAAGATGAAATAGAATCAGAATGCCAAATAATTTTAATATGCAAGAGATAAAGGCACTCTATCTGATTGCATGCAGCATTCACAACAAGATTTATGATTTGAATGCACAAAGTGAGGTAAGTGGATAGGATTTAATTATACCACAGAGAAATGCCTGGCTAGATGACCAAGATTGAGAACTGAATATTCAAGAATATTCATTATTTAGTAAGGATAGGGAAAATGCAAAAAAGAGGAAGGTAGGTCTCTTAGTAGGAATGACATTAGTGCATCAGCGAGGGAACATCTCAGATTTAAGAATCAAGATGTAGAATCAGTTTTGATGGTAGTTAAGAAAAGTTTAGGGTTATTTATAGGCTACCAAACAATGGTAGTAATGCTGGGCATGGTATAACTCTGGATTTTAGAGATGCATGAAATGTGAATAATACAGGAATAAAGAGTTACTTTAATTTTACATAATTTTACATTGACTGGATAAACACAATCAGCATTAATGCCATGGAAGATGAAATCCTACGTGGTGTAAGAGAATGGTTTCTGGAGCAGTCCATTGAAGAACCAACTAAGAATTGGGATATTTTCCATTCAGTATGATGAAATGAGAAAAACTGATTAATAATTTTGCTGTAAAAGATCCTTTGGGAAACGGTGATAA